TTAGCCTGGTGATGGGTATTAAAGAGGGCAGGTACTGAATGGGGCACTGGGTGTTATATGCAAACAATGAATCATGGAACACTATATCAAAAACTAATGATATAAAGTACGGTGATTAACATAAAATAATAAAATAAAATTTAAAACAAAGAAGAGAAAAAAAGTAAGTTATAAGAAAATATTTAATAAAATAGAGAGGTGTTAACTTTATGAAATGTTAAATGAAAGGTAAGTGTACTGTATAACCCACTTGAGTTTAAAAGAAGTATCTCTGTGCATAGAAAAAAGACCAGGAAGCCTTATCCTGAAACGTTATTAACGTGTTTGTTATTTCTGAGTGGTGAATTCTCAGATAACTTAAATATTTTGCTTATTTCTTGTATTTTTGTGTTTAACATGTAAAAAGGGGAAAAAAAGCAGAGGTTTTAAAAAGTGAAAAAAGAAACTCAAAGTGATAAGTATATGGTTAGAGGTTTCAGTGGATAGCGAAAGAGCTCACTAGAGTGGCTGTATCCTCAGTCAGGGCCGAGCGAGCAAAGGCTTTTTTGCGAAGAAACTGCCTAGAGGCATCACCTCAACCACATTAAAGATGATGACATGCAAGTACGTGTGCAAATGCTGGTATTCGTTAGGAAATCAGTCCTATTACTTAATGCACCTGCACTCTTTATCCAATCCCAAAAGAATGCAAAGTATTTCTAAAACATGTGTAATCGATTTTCACTTTTCTTTGCAGTTCTCCGCCATGCATTTATTTTTTTTTCTAACAAGTGTTGTTAAAATACTTTCACAATATTGTATAAATACATCTTCCTTTTTTTGGCAGCCATGACTGCGTTAAAGTTTAGCCCTTGACATACTTTGCTTATGTTAATCCAGAGCTCCTAGAAGACAGGACGCTGTTTTATTCATCACCGTGCGCAGTATCAGCAGGCGCTCGGTAACACCAGCGAAAGGCAGGTAAGTGTGAGCTTCTATTCTCAAGTCTTTTTGTTTTACTAGGACCTTTCTTCTTGGGCAGATACATTAACACATGACTTCATAGTACAAAATTCCAAACTTATAAAAAGAAAATAGATTTTTAGTTTCCAAGCGGAGAACCAGAGAAATCTGTGAATCATCGATTTCCCTTCTTTGAAACCATTTTTGTACCGTCGTATCAATACATGTAGGCCTGGAAGAGTGAAACTGTCCTCACACCCAGAGCTGGGGAGGTAAAGGGAGCCTCCTCATAGAATTTAACAAATCCCTCAGAAGCAGTAACATCCAAGTTTTACCAATTCTTTCTGAAAGAAATTTCTTTCTGCTCTTTCCAGAGCAGCAGCTATTTTCAAGATATCTGTGGTTCGTAACGAGCCCATTTCTTACTCCCGGGGCGCCTAACGGGGCTTAGCTTGAAACGGCACAATTTCCAGTGACTGAAACAGTGTCTGACACCTGGAGTTAAATCTCTGTTGAATTATTAAATAAACAAATGGAAGTGGAAGACGGATGAACAAAAGAAATTTAACATTCTTTTGCATAGTGATGTGAAATACTAGCTTCACTGTGGTTTGAGACTTAAAAATTAAGGGACAATTCAGGAAAAGAAATCTATTCTTTATACACTCAGACCAAACTTAAATACCCACTGAGGACAGGTAGGCGATGCAGTTGAATGGTTAGGTGTCTGGGCATGTGTGGACCTTATGGAGCGGAGGAGAGGCCAGCGTGCTCCATTTCAGTGGGGTGAGGCCAACTCAGTCCCGGGCCTTTGTGGCCAAATGGCACTGCAGGCCCAATTTCGCTAGCTGGAAGTCTAGATTTCTTTATGAAGACTCCAAAAATTTCAAATGTTGGCTCAACATTTAAAAATAGATACATGATGTCCTTGTGTTTTGCGTATCTGGCCAGAGGCACATAGATTAGAAACCTCTCATTTTGACTCTACTGTGTCTGAGAATATGTATCCTTAGGACATGTGTATGTGTGTCTGTGTGTCTGTGTATGAATTGTATGTTGTTGCTACAATCATTACCTTGTGGAAACTGAAAAGAACAAAGAGGTAAGTTACACTCTGGGGGAGGGTTTTTAAGCACTGGGTGAGCTGGTGGAAAAATCCTGGAGGATGTATCTTTTAAAGGTACGTGTCAAAAACATTGAGTTATTCCTGAACTTGCAAATATTTTGCTCTGTGATTAGGTCATTTGTGTTTGCTAACTGACACCCATAGCGAAAGGAAGCACCTACCCTCCCCCACAGGGACTGGGGAAACTCAAAGTGACTCCCAGGCCCTCGAGGAAGGCATTCCTGGGTTATAAAACCATCAAGAAGTTTTTAATGAGGTTTTTTATCTATCTTAAAGAGAGCAAAGAAAGAATGTACAGTTGCAAGTTTTCTAAAATAAATGCTCCAAGGAAAGGGAGGTCAGGGGCTAGAGTTTAGTCAAGTTGGAGAGAATGTTAAGTCCATCTCAGTCATAGAGTGATGGTAGATGTTGATGTTTAGCAAGCTACACATCAGTAGATCAGAAATAAATGTAACTTCTAGATGTTCCAAGCCTAGCTTAGAGCCCTCCCCACCTTTCCCCTACATCCTCCCTACTGCCTAGTGTACCAGGGAACCATGGAATGCCAGTGACAGTGAGTAGCTAAGTTCTGTCCATTTAAGGACTTGGAGGAGAAACCCATACTCTGCCTGTATTCCCTCCAGGGGACTCGACCTGCCCACATATGTACCAACAGGTGCTTACAAGGGCACCAGTGCCACGTGCTTTCACGGGGTGTGCAACCGTGGGAGCCTTGGTCTCTTCATTTCTAAATGGGCGTAATCAATGCACACTATACAGCATTTGTATGAGCAATGAATGTGATCTGTGTAAAGCACTCAACATGGTGCCTGGCATATAACACCGACTCAGCAAATGGTAACTATCAATGTTTCAGCCAGTTTCCATCTGTGCTATTATATTATTTTCACAGAAGGATGATCATACTATGATACTAATAGTAACAGAATACACAGAGAGGTGGAAGAAAAGAAGTTAAAAAAATCGTGACTTAAATCTACCAAAACAGAGCAGAAGAAACTACCGACGAGGCAGCAACTATTTCCAAAGTGCGCTGGCCTACCCTCCACAGCTACAACCCCAGTTTCTACCCAACTTTCCTTCGTCTTGTTCCTGCAGACTTAACTATTTCCCCATGTAGATCTCAAACCCTCATGTTCTTTTGCCCCACGACACAATGCAATTCTAAAAATTACAATCTTTGTTGTATTTCCTTTGTTATATTTAGCACTTGTGGCATTTTACCCAATGCTATTTATTTTTTGAAGCCCCTGGGGGAGCTCTTTGACTTTTCAGGAAGTGCTTTGCAAATTCTCCCCCCAGAAGGTTTTCCCTTTGTTTGTATCTTGGTAGCAATTCTAGTTTTCAACATTTGGACTCTGGTATTATAATTGTGCTCAAAGTATCTACACAGAAGTGGTCTGTTTCATCATCCAATGAGCTCGGCCTGTGTGTGGATATGACACTCCAGTGGAAGGAAGCCAAGAGCCTATAGTAGCGATCCTGGGGAAAATTTAAGCAGCTGTGGCTATGTAATTCAAAACCTCTGAAAAGTGTGCTGCAGTCCGCGCACAGCATTAGTGTAACATGAGGGCTGGATGTAGCCCGTCCCCCGGAGGACTTCCTCGCTTGCTGCAGGAAAGAGAAGACTGAAAGACAAACCTGGGTGCAGCCGGAAAGGTCCAAATAGATGAGCTTGTGGCATCCATTCCCTAAATTCAGGTACCGTAAACCTTTGTCTGTGAACTTTCTGCAATAAGCCAAACTAAGATACTGTAAGTTCTGGAAGTACCTGAAAAGACAGGGGCGAGAGGAGAGAGGAAGGAAAGGGATTATATTTGAGTCGTTTTCCACATCTTTCTTAAGCCACTATGACAAAGAGAAGTAAAACTATCAATTACTCTTTTCTCTTTGCAGATCTTCAGCAGTTGAACGTAATTATTAATGCTCTACCTGTTATGTGAAGGAGCTTGGAGTAGTATATCAGATAGTGCATCATTACATTTTAAATGAAAATAGAGATTTGCCTAGATTTTTAAGAAGGCTGATTGAGGGAGAGCTCTGAGGGTGGGGGACGTTTGTGCATTCCTATTGTTTGGACATTAGTTTGTGTTTGAAACCAAAGTTAAAATATTTGCAGTATTGTTGCATTTAAGTTTTATCTTTGGGGCACCAAAACAACGTGCAAAACGTGTAGATGGACAAACCCTTTGTAAACATTTAAATGGTGATTAACTGTTGCATGACAGTGAGGATTTGGGGCAGAAAGGAGGCAAAGTTAAACATAACAAGCTCCCAAAATGGACATGATAAGCAAATGGTTTGAAAAAAAATTTGAATATGCATGCTTTTGTGTTTCATTATTATAGTTAAAGAAAGACTAATTGATATAGAGAGCTTAAAAATGGGTTAAAAAGAACAGTCTGCAAATGAGTTGAGCAACACATGAAGGGAATAAAAATGACATCAGAGGCTATCAATCTCACTGGAGTTCAAACAGATTAAATATGGCATTACCACCATGACCAAAATGATTGCTTCCAGAAAAAAGGGAGGTAATTAAGATGAGCCTGTACAACCGTGCAAGGGCTTACAGTTTGAGGACATTCTGTGGACAAGTTTCCAAGCCTTCCTAAGCCTGGCATTTTTTTTTTAAAGTGCAGTAACTCCCACTATTGCTCGCCCTTGTAATGGAATTAACAACGTGCTGTTGGGTTGTGATCTGCAACAGTTTAACAGCAAATTGGAAAGCAAAAAGAACGAAAAGTGGGAAGAAGATGCCTCTCTGTCCCTCAAAAGCCCACAAATGACTAGTAAAATTTACTTTCATGCAAATGGGAAATAAGATATGCAAGCATGGACAGTTAATCAGATTTATTCCTAAAATTTGAAAAGCACATCTATATGATATATAATGATTTCCATTCCATAGTGACTGATTTGATGCAGACCACACATTCCCCTCCAGCAATGTCCATGAGATTCAACAGAACAAAGAGGGACGCCATCTGGATTCCCCAGTGGCTGTGGGCAGGGCCGTGGAGCAGAAAGCAGCACTAACATCCCAAGGACACGTCCCCTTTCCTGGGGCCCTTGAGTTAACCAAGGGCTATGTCAAAGTTTTGGAAACGCTTTCTCTTCCTCTCCTTCCTCTCCCTGGAGTGTATCCCTGTGATTCAACGGAGCAAAGTACGGTTTTCTTGGGGTGTGTGTGGGAGGTTGTCATTTCTAACAACCCTTTAGCTCTCTAATTTGGAGAAAGGAATAGTAAGGCAGACAGCACAACACAGTGGAAAATGCACAAGGTTTTGGAATCTGACCAAATTGGATTCGAATTTCAGCCCCGACACTTACTGCAACTTCCCGAACCTCTCACGGATTGTTTCTGCGTCTGTTAAGTGGAGATTATAATATTATCTCTCTCTCTTTTTTTTTTTTTAACCCTGACCAACTGTGTCCAGCTTTCCTGAATCTTAGTTTTCTCATCTGTAACATGGATATAATTCTATCCACTCTTTCCTCTCAGAGGTATGACAATTACATGAGAACATAGATATAACAGTATTTTATTAAGGATGATTTTTGATGATTAAAATCAGCAAGTAGAAGCTTTAAAATATATATTCTTGCTACTACTATTTCATATAATAGCATATTAGTTGTTCTTATGAAGTTTGTACTATCTTCTTCCATGTAATGGAATGGATGCTTATCTGACAAAAGTGGCGTATACAACTGATACCAAGACTTTGGGAGACCTCACGTTACATCTACACCCTCATTTTGATCAAGGTTTAATGCCCTTTTTAATCTGTTTTAACTCCAGTGAGACTGATAGCCTCTGATGTAGTTTTTATTCCCCTGATGTGTTGCCCACTCATTTGCAGACTGTTCTTAACCCATTTTTAACCTCTATATCAGTCTGTCTTTAATTATAATAATGTAGCTGTCACTTGTAAAATCATGCATATTCAAATATATTCAAATCTAGCCCAAGCCTATTGTCTGATTTTTTTTAAGTCCTTGTGATCAGTTAACAAATACTCAAAGTAGAGGGGCACCTGGGAGGCTCAGTCGGTTAAGCCTCTGACTCCTGATTTCGACTCAGGTCATGATCTCAGGGTCCTGGGATCGAACCCCACATTGGGCTCTGCGCTCAGTGTGGAGTCAGCTTGCCCCTCTCCCTCCCTCTGCTTGTTCTCTCTCTTTCTCTCAAATAAATAAAGAAAATCTTAAAAACAAAACAAAAAAACCCCCAAATACTTAAAGTAGGAATTGAATGGGGAGTTCTTAACGTTTTTGTGTGTAACATACCTCTAGATCTATGGACCCTTTGTCAGCATAATGTTTTTAATGCGTAAAATAATACTTAAAATTACCAAATACTTAAAATTACAAAAGCAGCTAATTATATTGAAAGATATCATTATCAAAATTTTTAAAAAACCAAATGAGTGGAATAATAATATATGTGCTTCTTTATTAGCATGTTAAATAACAAGATCTAGTGGCAGGGCTAATAACTACCCATGATTTTGAACTAGTGATGAGTGTCAATAATGATACTTTGAGATACTTGTAACAACTATAATAAGAAAATGTTTGAGATTTATATGGTCGAGGAGTCCCAGGAACTGCTAATACTACTGTGATTTTTTTTTTTTTTACCTACATTTCAGTTAGAGCTTAGTGAAAATAGAGATTATTTTTCTCCCATCAAAATTCATGGAACCTCTGAAGTCCATCCCTGGTCTCCTTGGGGGATCCACTGAGCCCAGGTTAAGAACCTCAGGTTTGGCACAAGAAGTTGTTCACTGGATGAAATGACTCCCAGATTGAAAGTCCCTAGATGGCCGTCTTCAAAGTGGAACCTCATGGGAACCATCAGTTTGAAAACCCAGCACAGGAGGAATCCTAAGTGGCCCTGTAGACCTTTCTAGGGATTTACAGG